GGAAGGCAGCCTTAGAATTTAATGCATGCGCCAACCCAGCCAAAAAGGAAAAAAAAGAAGAAGCTTAGCCCAGCGGTTCCCAAACTTGGCAACTTTAAGACTTGTGGACTTCAACTCTGCTGGCTGGAGAATTCTGGGAGTTGAAGTCCACAAGTCTTAAAGTTGCCAAGTTTGGGAACCGCTGGGCTAGGTCTAATCCAGATTCTGTCTTACTTACTGCAGGAAGGGGAGCTTCCTTCAAATGAGACATTGATCTGATTTGTACAATGCTCTAGTCTATAATTTAACAAAGCTTTATTAAAACTGGATTGCTTAAATTCATATTATAAGCAATATCACCAGCATGTGTTTGTCAGCAAAATGACGAGGTTCATACATAAAACTAAATTATAGTCAAAGACTCCATAATTTTGCTTAGCGCTGGGTGTGAAATTAATTACTGGAGAAAGAAAAGAAGAAAGCAAAGAGAGCATTTTGGTTGTTTTAGTATTTTAACAATGTGATGGTGGTTTGGGTAACAAATTATTACTCAAACACCCAAATCTATTTTCTCTTACTGTTTTCTCTTTCTCATATACCTCATGCTCTCTGTCATAATCAGTTCTTTTATCCAATGCCTCATATTCCACAAAACCTTTGACTTAAAACCTGTAATTCATGGATTGGCAATACAATGTCTTTTCAGTTTACAACTCCCATCGATCCAGTTAACATGGCCAATGACTTCTGACAGCTGCCCTTCAAAGCCCTTAGCTGCTTACTTGAAATTTAGTTGTAAATAACAAATGAGCTGACATTTAGATTTTTCTAGCTATATTTATATATGTTTATTTCAAATCTATAGACTTAAACTAGTCATAATGCATTTTCCAAAGTGTAAACATTGCCTGCTGCTTAAAAGACAACAAGGTAATTCCAAACAGGTCCAGGAGAAGCCTTTTCTGCTGTGACCCCCTCTCTCTAGAATATTTTCCTAGCAGAGGTAAGATCTGGCCCTGCATTCCTGGTCTCCTGGAATAGTCTAATAACTTGGCTCAGCTGTTTGACCTGCTAAATCAGAGCTGGCTGATGGGGTAGAGAAGATTCTC